GATAGAGAGAGTGAGAGTAAAGAGAAAAACAGACGCTTAAAAAGGACAGGGTCAACACTGGTTGCATTATCATCCTTCTAGTCCTGTGAGATGGACCAAATGTAGAGGCTCGAAAAATTCCAGTAAATTTCATGTGAAACTGTCAGAAAAGGGGAGATTTGAAGACAAGGATAGTTACGCGCATTTCCAATCAATCGAATACAATATATGAGCCTGATTCGTGCATGAATCGATAAAATTGAAGTCAAGCAGAGCTCTGGAGTGTTGGCGACGGCTTATCAATTTGATCAGTGCCCAGAGCGGCTCTACCACGCTGTCTTTAAAGAGGCCGGGAACTCAAAATTCGCCTGCCTGGGCATCGATACCATTCCTGAAAAGCTACAGGAAGCTGAAGCTTTGGCTTAAGCTCAGGCTTCATCTCGAGCTTAGGCTTAGGCTTAGCTTGGGCTTCGGCTTAAGCTTAGGCTCGGCATCAGGCATGTCTGGCGCTGCCAGGAATCGTACGCTGAGGGCATCCGGGCCGGATTTTTTACGCCACTTTAGCACGAATCAATCAAAAATAATAAAATATGACTAAATATATAAAATATAAAACACACTCTAAGAGTAAGGAAGCGATACAGCAAAACAATCAGGTCGAGGCAAGCTAATCATTTTGTTGGAAAGCTAAAGACAGGAATGGATGGGATAGATGTTGGCGGGTCAGCGGTGCAGAATGAGCGGAGTGAGGCCGGAGAGCTGCTTCTTCCATTTCGTCCTGCAATCATTGGAAGTTTTTCGTTCCGCCACAGATACGTATATTTCTGATTGGCACCCTCGTTTTGATTTGCCCCCGAGTAGAAGCCGAGCTAAAGTATTTTCATAATGCGCCACGAATTTACGGATGAGTCACCGGTTTGGTACCGGACCATTAGCGGAGGGGGGGCTTACCCTGAAGTAATATATAACAAAAAATGTATTAAATGACGAAACATCTAACATTTTATAGGGTTTAGCATAGCTTTTTAGATGTAAAACCCTATAAAGGCTTTTAGATTTTAGAATAAAGATACTGAAAAATTCAAAATTTCTGAAAAATTGTGCCTTTTGTGTCAAAAATGTATGAAAAAATAGCCAAAACGACCGAAATTCTTGAGAAACCTGAAGGTTAAAGATGCTTTTTCAGTTTTTTTTGGCAATTAAAAACCCCTAAAACCTCCCTTTGAAAAAGACACGGATGTCCTTATAGAACCACAACAAGACGGGGAACTAAAGGCTGTTTATTCCAGAGCCGTTTTCCCGGTTTTCCCGGTTTTTGCAAATTGATTACAGCTCTATCAACAAGCGCATGTTAAAGCATTTAAATTCTGTATCTTTTTTGTCATCTTTGAAATCTTTGCGCCTCCCACCTTCGATTCTGGAACCACGTCTTGATTTGGGTCTCGGTGAGCGCCAGCGATTGTGACAGCTGTACACGCTTTCCAACCGATAAATATTTATCGCGCTAAATATCGATTAGGTTAGTTATATTTCAGGGTTCCACCTGGAATTCCTTTTCCAACGTGTCGAGTTGTCGCGCGGAATAGGCTTGGCGCGGCTTGCGCTCAACGGTCGCCTTCCGACCGCGATGGTACTCGTAGTTTTCGGGCTAAAAAAATTGGAGTAATCCATTTTCAAAAGATCTAAATTGTATAGCATCTAAAAATTAGGATTTTCATTTCATCTAAAGCTACAGGCATTGGAAAATTTTAAAAGTCATAAAATCCATATGTTTTCGAGATTTCTCATTTTTTTACTTAAAAATTCATACGCAAAACCATATTCTTGACATTCAAAATTGCCCCTCAATCGTTCAAATCGCTCAAAATAATTAAAATCCTCAAAATATAGAAACTATGAGTACTAAAACGACCATTTTCAATGCGTTTCCATTTTACGACTGACAAAAACTCAATAACCCAAAAAAATTCAATTTTTTAGTGAATAGTTTAGTTAATTTTTTAATTACCTGAATTTTAGTTTTTCGAATTATTTATTATGTATTTTACACCATTTTAACCGTACCTCGCAATCCCAACAACATTTGCAACTCGCCAAGAGATGGGTTGACCGGATTGTGTGAAGCCAAGAGGCGGAAATGGGAGTAGCGGCAATGGGGGCAAAGCTAAAAAAGCATCAGCTACACTAAATTCCGGTCAACATACGAAAGGGAATGTGAAGGCATTAATGGCAATGTTGGGAGCTGGAAAAGCCGTTGGTGGAGATCCAAGGCTTCTTCGGCGGGTTCAGAGCCATCTGAATCCTCGGAATCGCGGCTGCCGGGTTGCGCGTGGATTGTTTCGGCTAAAAAGGTGATTCTCGTGTTGGCGCGCTTCTCTTTTAGCGGGGTTTTAAACGATTTTTATGGAATTTTTCTGTGTTTTTAAACAAAAACTTGGCTCGGGGTAGCTATTTTGATCTATTGGTTAAAAATGGTTTTAAACGGTCTCATTGTTATTCTATTCCAGCATAATGGGCAAATTTTCTAAACCAAAAACTCTTAAAAACCAGATAAATACGCTATTTTCTTACTAACAGATAGCCGAAATGGTAAAAAATGCATTTTATAAACTTACTAGCCCGGCGGAGTAATTCTTCGATGTTGAAGCTCATCTCAGGGGTACGGTGATCGGGTGCAATATCGCAAACCCTTAGAACTCAACCAAATGGCTCGCTGCAGAAAACAAGAGTTTATACCGTAGTCGCCAAGCAAAAATTGGGCGACTTGTAGCGATTTCCAGCCGCCAGTTTGGAGCACTTTATAGACAGCTACCGTAGTCGCTGCGGCCAGCCGACTGGGGGCAACTTGTAGCGAATGAATGGGCCGATCGGGTGGATTGGCTGGGGGCCGGCTTTGATAAATGGGAACCGTGAGAATATGGGCCCCCGGCGGCGAGGCCAGGTGAATAATCTGAGCCGCGCAATATCGGGGAGGGCTTGGTCGACATCCTGATAGCCCAGATTCGGAAGAGGGCTACGGTGGGAATCACAATGTCATTGCCCGGCTACACTCAATACTTTGCGAGGAATTTGTGCTAAAATAAGGTTGCTCGGGGTTTAGCTCGGTTAGGCCCGGAAATGCGAAAAATTTCACGATGGACCCTGTTTGAAATATTTTTTGAACCTTGTTTTTATGGCTATCCAAAATTTTTCCCCATCGGTATGGAAAATCCAGTTAACGCTACATCAGATATTCTGAAGATATTTTTGATACTGGACTGTTAGCGGGGGGGGCGGGAGTGGAGGGCATTAGCTGAGGTAAACCTAATTTTCCTTTCTTCCGGTCTACTAACCTGTTAATAGTAATATTGTATTTTTTTGGTGTTTTCAACAGTTTTGAGAGTTGAGAAGCTACGAAAAATCAAAAACTTTATTCGAAACTCTTAATTCTTTGGTAATTTTCCTTATTTTTGACCAAAAAAATCCACATTTTCGAAAATTTATATACCACCAGATGGTTCCAGTGCCGCTTCGCGACTGTAACCATCTGGCGCTCGCTACCCTACATGTCCTACACCACACCATTCCACCCTACCCACATCACGCCTACGCTAACGACTTCAACTACCCCTCCCCATAGCTGAAACCCCTTAAAAACTACTTCCGATACCTTCCTGATGGCTCAGATTACTCCCCAGCCAAAATCCTCTCCAAACTACCTAAATACCCTTCCTGATGGCTTCAGATACCCCCCATGGCTGAAATCCCCTTCCAAAACTACCTATAAATACCCTCCTGATGGCCTCAGACACCCCCATGGCTGAAATCCCCTTCAAAAACTACCTAAATACCTTCCTGGGGGATACTTTAAATAACCTAAATAATAATCAACATAATTAAAAGTATTAAAAGTATATTAAAAAGTACAGTAACTTAAGAAAGCGACCTAAGTGCGGGAAGGGGCTCAAGGAAGAGGGCGTGGGAAGGTACATCCTTGGGAAATTCGTCCACTCCTTTACTAAGGAAAACTTTCAAAGTTAATTTTAATAATTTAAACTAAAAGTTTTCATAAATTTTTATCAGTTTGGGGTTTTGATCGGCGTTTCATCTCGAACTGAAGAGCTAAGCTCAGCTCCTTTCCCCCTCGGAGCTGAATTCGGCTTCACGGGACAGACAGACGGACGGACGCGTCAACAAAATTATTATAGCTGATTTTAGGAGCTTTTTATGTTCAAAAAACTATGTGAAATGCTATAAAAACGGTTTTGATTTCTTTATAGGATCGTACAGGATCTGGAAAAAAATGTAGCTATATTTCAAGTATAAACCATTTTTACAAAAAGCAGAAAACGTTCTAAAATTTGATTCGAGGCTCCTGAATTAGTCAACCCCATTACAGGGCTGCTATCGATAATAAAACGGGGATCCGGGGAGCCGGAACTCTCCCACCGCGCCTCTATCGAATATTGTCCACTTCCCGGACCCCTCGATCCCGTAGTGTTGTTGATTGTTTTGAAGGCTCATTTCGAATTGTGTGACCAGCTTTATTCGGAAAATTCACACTATATCCCTGGCCTCGCCTAACAACTTTCCCGTGTCGTCGATGTACCTGATTGCCGTCGTTGCATCATCGGTTGTGTTGTTTGGCCGAGAAAAACAAATTAAGCCCAAAAAATGGCGCATTTTCTAACTAAAATTAGCTAGTTTCTAAATAGTTTACGATTTCTAAACATAAAACTTTACGATTTTCTGTTAAAAATCTAAAAATATCGCCTTTTCACCAAAAATGACCGATTTTCGACCAAAATCTAAAATTCACCTTCTTATTGTTTCCACCTGGAATATAGTTAAATTTTACTAAAATACTATTAAAATACTACTATGAAGTTACTTAGAATTTCTGGACGAGAAAAATTCGCATCCCCTCCCCGATAATGCGAAAGCACCAAAACAATATAATTTCTGGATAAAAGGTGCACCACGCAACCTTCACGTTTTTCTCATCTCGATCTCCACAAAACTGCCCTGATCCAGTCAATTTACCAGCTTGGCAGTAATGGTTCCTCGAATATCTGGTAGCACCCTTTTTGCACAACGAACCTGAAATTTAACCTTTATACAACAATATGAACGAACCTCAGCCACGCGCACCTCTTCTCCAGCGTGATATAACAGAAAATCCAGTATTTCACAACCGTCAACTGACTCTAAGAGCTCACTTTATCATTTTATGCTATTCATTCCACCTCTTCATTAGCGGCCACCCTCCAGTCCGAAGTTCGGATGCCCTGGATTTTGTTCGAATTCACCAGCAAAATCGGCAGCCAATTGTAGATGATCAAACACGAAGATGAGGACTGCGCCGAATATGTCGTAAATCTGGATTTGGCAATGCAACTGATAAAAAGCTTTACCTGGTTAACGTACGCCGTCAATAGCGCAAAGACTAGGGCCGTAGAATCTGTCAGAATGTCCGTTTTCTGATCTTTCGACAAGACTTTAATCTGCTCCACGTCGTCCGCCTAAAAGAGCTAAGAACGATGGCCTAACCCACCACAAGCAAATCAGGTACAGGAAAAGCTTCAACAAGATGTTGGCGGCGATGACAAAGAGGTGTTCTTCCTCTCTAGTCGCGGATCGGAAACGATTTTCTAAATTCGCGACAGGTTCTTTCTCTTCCTTTCGCGGGCCGACTTGCCGGTGTGCTGTCGAACGAGATGATCTAATGAAACAGGCGAGCACCAACATCACCACTGAAGCAATTACCTAATGAATCGTTAGAGCTAAATCTAATAAAATTACATTTGTCAGGCTTTCGCTTGCCCGTCCGCGGGGAAATTTCTGTTCCGGAAGCAGGAGCCTTTCTTCTAAATACGAGTAAGGTCAAAAATGTGGTTCTTTCGCATTATCGGGGGAGGATTCCGCTTGTTTCCTAAGTCCAGAAATGTCTAGTAACGTAATAGTAGATATTTCAGTCGTGTTTTTAGCAAAATTCTTCAACTATATACTTAGAAATTGAAAAACAATAAAAATGAGACTACATTTTAGACGAATTTTCGGTCGAAATCGGTCTTTTTTAATCAAATTTGTAAAGTTTTTACGGGCGTGTTTTTAGCCCTCAAACACAACGAGTCACCAACGGGCAACACCTGTTTGCACACTCCGTAATCGATTTCCCAAACCCAATTAATTGTAACTAAAAACTTAGAGACTCTAAGTTGGAGTTATTAAGATAGTAGAAACGAAAGAAGCAAGTTCTGGAAAATATACTGACGTGAAACGAGTATTTTTTGCGGGTTTTTCGGAGCAAAGACCATTTTACTGATCCGTTGCTCAGGAGTGACGAATAAGGATCGTATAATCATGATGAAGGACTTTCAAAAGAGAGCCGCCAGATGTTGTGGGTAAATCTTCTGGAAGCCTATGCACTTTGCTGATTGATGCTGTGCAAAAAGCCGAGCGTCGTCGAGCTTTCAAAAATGATGTGGCACCTCGAGCATGCGCAAAACACTGTTAATGATAGGGCCATTGTAAAGTGTATATCTGATTTTGTTTCTTCGGCTACCGTTGCTCCAATTAGTTCGACATATCCAGACTCTTCTATCTATTTTCCTATCTATCCTTCCATAATGAGGTATTTCTGGGTAATTCGCAAAAGATTCGCGAGCATTCGATGTACGAGGGTTTACCAACCGTAAATACTAGCAAAATTAAATAGAATCTCTTGCGGACTATAAACAGTTTTTTCGCATTAGAACATATATTAATATTCGTTACTTTTGTTGCTCCTCCTCGTTCCTTTTTGCTATCCGTAAAATTGGTGAAGGTGGTCGAATCACGCAAAATGATAGAAATTTCACGTCAGTAGCGGAAGTATCATTACCAATATCAGTTCTAGAACTATATTTTTCGTTTATTGTAATAAAAATAACCCTTAGAAGTTTTTTAGTTACAATTAATTGGGCTTGGGAAATCGATTACGAAGTGTAAACAGGTGTTGCCCGTTGGTGACTCGTTGTGTTTGAGGGCTAAAAACACGCCCGTA